TATGGTCCTTGCCTATTAAGGGACATAGTCACTCAAAAGGGTATATTGATGCTGAGGAATTGGATAGGCAAATACAAAAGAAAGGCATTTAATTCTTGCCATACACGGTAGACTAAAGTTAACTCTCTATGTAAAGTGCCAAAGGCAAACCTGAGTGATGGGTGAAGTCCTTCTGTGGATATGTTTGTCTTATTGGTTGATAAAGCACTGTTGGCCAATAGGGAAGCAAGATAGGCGGGGCTAGGAGTTGAGGAGGATTCTGGGAAATGCAGTAAAGAGGAGAGTCAACATGTGATCCCAGGACGCTAAGGCCAGTGTCCTCGGTAAGATAAGTCCTTATAAAAATATATAGATTAGTAGTTATGGTTGATAACTACTGGTTGATAGACTGAGCTAGCAAATAGGAAATCCTAGTCATTGGCCAGCAGCATTGTAACTAATATTAATCTCTGTATGTTATTTGGGGGCCCGAATGTGGCAGTGGAACACAGGCGGCTGGCGGAAAGAGTTATGGTTACACTTGAGCATTTTCATGATATTGTATTTGGCAAAAATTTCTTCCAGTACCAGAAAGGCAGGCATCACAGTGGGGATAGGGTGTGTCTATAGTTCCATTTTGATAAGTTTATCTATATCTACATGAAGTTTTTTTGCTTCAAAAGTTTTCAAAGGATCCTATCAATGAAGTAAAAATCAAATATAGAGTGGAAAGAAGTATTTGGAAGCCACATATCTAATAAAGTAATAGAAAACAAAATTTAAAATCAATAGAAGATATAATTAGATTATTTCTCTGCAGGAAACATACAAATGGTCAGTCAGCATATGAAGAAATGCTGAGCATCATGAGTCATCAGGGAAGTCAAGGCTGCTGTGAAACAGCCTTGGAGTCCCTTCATGACACAGCAGTTCACACGTAGGAAAACAGGCAAAAACATGGAAACACCCAATCCCCTCCCGCAAAATGGGGGGGGGGAAGAAAACCACAAGAAAGCCTTTACATCAGTTATTTTCACAGCAACATTATTCTGAAGGTCCCGAAGCTAGAAACAAGTCAATTGCCTATCAACTAATAAAAAAATAGGTAAAATGTATATTTATAAAATAAGCTATAACTTGGTCATAGAAGGAATGAAGTATTAATGCATGACATACACACACACTCTCTCACACACATATCTCAGAATATTAGACTGTCTATTGGTAAAATGCTTGCTTAGCTTGTACAAGGCCCTGGGTTTAATCCCACACATATCCCTATGTTGTGTGATGCCGTTTATATGATTTGTCTAGAATTGGTAAAACCACAGAGATATAAAACATAATCATTATTGTCTAGAGCTACTGGTGGTGAGAAGCTTAGAAATTAGGGTTTTTCTGGGCTGATGAAAATATTCTAAAATTGTCTATGATAATGGTTGCATACTCAGCATTGCACTGTGTATTTTAATGGGTAAAATATGTGGCATGTGAACTCTGAATAAAGTCATTAAAGAAAAAATAGGATACTTTGTAAATAATACTTAGACTCAATTTCTTTAGGACATTTCCCATGTTTCTCATCTTTTCTTACAGTGAGAAAATATGTTTGCCTTTCTTCGTAGAAGTTGTAGTTCTTCACTCACCTTTCATTTTGGCAAATTGATTTTCTGTAGAATCTACCTGTTTTTTTTTTTTTTTTTTTTTTTTTTTTTTTTTTTTTTTTT